ATTCTCTTTTGTTCTTGATGGGGATCTCATTTGTATTTGTCATATGAATCTAATTAATATTGCATTTTTCGTTTTTAAGCTGTTAATGTTTTCAACTTCTGTGACCAATTGTACTTGGAGATCTCGCGAAATGAGCCTAGTTCGGGATCTCAACTCTTATGAAAATAGTTGAGCATCATATTCGAGAAGAGATAAACTCCTATGAAAACAGTTGCAGAAGTTCATAAACCAGATAATTTGATAAGTAGCCAACAGATTCTGAGATTAGTGTCAAAAATACAGAGATCATTGATGTATAGACCACTGTGACTGTTACAATCAGTCAAACTGTACAAGCTAAAGCTGAGAAAGAACAAAACAAATATGGGACCTAAAACGGGACCGTATATGGTAATGAAAAAATGCCTACTTCAGGCAAAAACCGAGCTCTAGGAAAAATGGAATCTTCTGAATTCTTTAAGTGCATGATCAGATCTTCATCTTTCTTGATAGATGCTTTGGTAGAGGCGTTCTCTTGCTTCTTTGGACCAAAAAGCCAATCATCACTGTTACTATCGTCTTCCTCCAACGAAATGCAGGGAGGAGGAACCCATTCATCAAACAATGAGTTGTACCGAGATTCTTTGCGTGGCTTATGCTTCTTCCTCTTCTTCAATTCAGAAGGAATTGCAATCTTATCACCGTCAAGAGAAGTCGAGGGCAGATTACCATCACGTTCACTGGTCTCTGAACCCAAGACAGAACTTAATGTTTCATTAAGTCGCTCATTCCCTGAAGTGGAGCAAACACGATCCTCTTGAGGTAGTAAGGCCTCGGCTTCTTTAGGTTTCTTGAACACAAACCGTATCCTTAGCGGATTACCAGCTACATGAGTAGCTGCATATATTTACAATGTCTGAATTTCAGTACATGTAACATAAAATACAAGGATTTGAAACTCCATTAATCTTGTCCAGGAAGAAAAAAAAACACAAACCTTTAATATGACTCTCAACAGCAGGAGAAGCTTCCCTCCTTCTCTTCTTACTGTTTTGGCTACCATCAGACAAATATCCAACCTGGTTAAGCTGCTGCTCATTTTCTTCTGTCAAACAACTCTTCTCAAGCTGTTCAGACTCATCAGAGACTTGCTGCTTGGTTGGGTAATAATGAAGTTTAAGGGAC